AAAGAGATGGAAAGAGACAGCCCATCTGAAAACTGTTGCCACTGCCCTCCCTATGGCTTTGGGAACAACTCGGTATCCTTACTGAAAGGCAGAGCCATTGGAAAAACCACTTTGCTCCATGTGAGAACCACATGGGAGGGTTAAGGACGGGTTTGAGTCATGAGGTGCAAGAGCTGGGGCTGCCTGGTGTTCTAGGGGCCAGGTTTTCTAGATAGTGGTCAAGGCTGGTAAGGTGGAGGAACCGGGCTTATGAATGCAGGATCGTCGAGTAAATAGGCAGTAGAAACCTGGCTTTGCAGGCTGTGGAGGCAAGGGATGTAGTGGCCTGGACCATGGGTTACAGGAGTTCATGGAAAACAAGGTGCTGAGATCACTTCAGGCCAGATTTTCCAAAGCCCTGGAGATTATTCTTTGGGGAATCTTGTAGTGACTGTGCTATAGGTCTTTTTTCTCTCTAATATGAGATTCCTCGTTCCATGAGGTCATGAAGGATTCATTCTCCCCTCTCCCCCCGATCAGCAAGTTCTAGAAGAAAGCTGCTGCAGGCAGACTTGAATACCTTTTAATTTTCCCCCCTCCATTTTCTGCTGAACTTCCCTATGCATTTCAAATCAAAACGTGTCCTTAGCAAAGTCTAATGCATTTACAAAGTAGACCCTCCATGGAAAGCAATGTATACACTTTTCTCTAAAAGGCCTAGTAGGTTGCTTTGTAAATAATAGTGTAGTATTAATATTTAAAAAAAAAAAATAGAATTCAGTTGTAATTGCCCACTATATAAAGCTGTTAAACAAAAAATCTTGGTCACGTTGGCAGGTCTCTGAAGCTGCTGTGTGATACTCCGTGAGTTTGGGTGAACACTGCTGGCTTTCTTCCTTGTTTAACCTGGTTTGTTCCTAAGCCGATAATGATGCTTTTTGCTCTTGTGCTTTGCAGTAACACGTTTGTGTTGGAGTACTGTGGAGAAGTGCTGGATCACAAAGAGTTCAAAGCCCGGGTGAAAGAGTATGCTCGCAACAAGAACATACACTACTACTTTATGGCTCTGAAAAATGATGAGGTGAGTACTGCTGGCTTGGTCACAGAAGCTATGTATGCATGCTGGGGTAGGGAAAAAGACAGTATTGTTGATATGAGCATTTGGGTGGCACATGTTCTGCTAGGAATAGATCTGGCATTACTCGACTTGGTGGTACCATGCACAAATAGCAGCCTTTTCCTCCAAGTCCTGGATCCATGTTTTTCAGTTGAGGGCACTTTCAGCTGACTTAAATTCAACCATACAGTGCAAGTGGCATTAAACTACTACCAAAAGTTCTTGATGTGTCCTCACAGGTCCCTGCTCTTGGGATTAAAGATCCCACTGCAGAGGTCCAAGTATTTTATAAGCCCAAGTAAGTCTGCATGCCTCCAATTTATGGGTCCTAAGGCACTAAATGCCAAGTTTATACATGAAAATAATACTTCTTCCCCTCAACAGCTACATATTTTACTCTTCTCAGGTATGGTTACCGTGTTGATAGCTTTGCCGTAAATCGGCTCAGAAACAAACTTAAATGTTCACTTGTTCCACGTAAGCATTTTCTGTGGTTGCCATGCGCCTGTGACATGACCATGAACTTGGGGATGTAGGGAGGTGGTGTGCTCAGCTGCATGTAGGTGATGGCTTTTATCTTTGCTGGACAGAGCGGGGCCTAAAATTATGTCCCCCGGCAACACAGCCAGAGCAGGGCCATGGTGGAGGTGGATGCAGGCTGCCCACTGTGGGCTTAGGGCTCCCTGCCCTGGGGGCTCTCCTGGGGAGAGGAGTATGTGGGGGGAGGCATGTGCCCCCCATATTTGTCTGTGGGGTGGGGGTGGATGTGGATGTGGGCTGCTTGTGGTCTCGGGGCTCCCTGCCCTGCCGCCTTGTCCCTGGAGCCCTGCTCTGGCCACCATGGTGAGGTGGGAGCAGTGGCGCAGAGTTGTGGCCCCTGCTGCTGCTGGGTGGGCAGGGGTGCCTCACCACGGCAGTTGGCGCAGGGCTCCCTGGGAGAGGGCAGCAGGGCAGGGACCCCTGAGGCCGCAGTGGGCACCCCGCATCTGCCCCCACCCTGCACACAGATCTGGGGGGCATGTTCCCCTCCCCCCCCCCATTCCCCTCTCCCTGAGAGTGCACACAGCAGCAAGGGCGGGACTTGATGTTCCCATTTCGGGACTGTCTGGGTGGACGGGTGGTCACTGTATCCTCTCCCTGAGCGGGGTCAGGGCCCTCGGGCCCCCACGTACTCTGCACCTATACACAGTAGGACAGTCTTTGTATGAGCCTAGTCTTTGTATTAAGATGATGCACGTTACAAAAATGTTTGAGAACTGCTGTTGTAGATACTGCTATGAACGCGAGATGTGGGAAACTTTGTAATGTGAAGTTTTCCCACTCCTGCTCAGAACGGTGGAGAAACGCATGTTGTTTTCTAGCAGTTGAAACCAAACAACAATAGCCTATTTTTTCATGCAGGCTTTTCATTGCAAACCCATTCTCTCCTAAGCAAATAAGGCAGATGGCTGAAAAGGGAAAGAATGATTACAATTTTTATTGAAGTTTTCATTCTCATCTTGATACGTACATGCAGGCAGTGCCTCCAGCTGCCGTTGCAGCAGTCGAGGGGAAAGAGGAGTGCTTTGTGCTATATTTATTTTTTTTCCCTTTCAGATAATAGATGCTACGCAGAAAGGAAACTGTTCCCGTTTCATGAACCACAGCTGTGAACCAAACTGCGAGACACAAAAGGTGAGCTGCAAAAGGAAACCTATTGTTTGGAGGTCTCCAATTTTGTGTGCTTGCGAGTGGTAAAAGACTCCAAATGGAACACTTTTATCATCAACCTTTGCATCTCTATCTTGCTCAATCACTGCTGTTTAAAAGCAAATATATACTTTGGAAATGGGGTAGTACAACCCTTCCAGATTGAGATTTTAGAATCAAAGATGCGTGTTGCTTTTTGGAAGATTAGCAATGTCATTTGTGTTGAATCTCCTTAATTTAATAAAAAGTCCTGTCCAGCCTAGATAACTGTATTAACCAATGTCACTGTTTTGGGATTTTTTTTTCCTGCCTTAGTGGACCGTGAATGGACAGCTAAGAGTTGGATTTTTCACCACCAAGCTTGTCCCATCAGGCTCAGAGCTAACATTTGACTACCAGTTCCAGAGATATGGGTAGGTATCTTTTCTACTCGTCTGCCTGTACGCTTATAAGTAGGTCTCCCTGAGTGATGATGTGCTGAAGAAATCTGTGCGACTGACCACTGAAAAAGTCTCGTCTAATTCAGAATCCAAGTGTCTGAGCACGGTGGTAAATGAATTGGAGTTTAGAAATAAAAAAGGCTGATCTGGCTAATCTGTCAATGTCCCTTCCTATACGAGATGAGTATTTTATGGTCTTGCTTTAAATATTCCAAGTTTGAGGGCTTTTCTGCCAGTTTTCTAGGTATTCCTCTTAAGTATTCCTTTTCCTAATTTCATCCAGTTACTAATTATCCCCAGCTGTACCCCTTTTTTAGCATTTTAAATAATTCCTCAACTCACCTGTATCTTAGTATTTTGCAGTTTTGCAAATATTTGCAAGCTTGATGGTGTTTCTTTTCCCCCTGCATGCTTGATCTTTTCAGTCTTAGCCTGTCCTTGTAGGTCAACTCCCTCACTCCTTAACTGTTTTATCTGACCATCATGTGTACTTGGAAAGGTGCACTAGTCCAATTCTTGCGACAATCCTAAGACAAGGCACTTGATTCCTCTTGTTTCATAATGGGATGCCTGCATCTATGCTGGGGGTAGTATCTGGCATAAGAAAGAGGCAACTTGTATTTTTAAACAGAATTGAATATTGGATATTATAAATTGATGTCCAGGATCAGGTTATAAAGGAAGGGTTACCCTCATAAAAAGAGGGTGCTCTGCTCAGGTAAAGATGCAAACTTTTGAGAGCAGACAAGCTTGTCTTGACTATTAAACATCTCCTTAGCCCTCTCAAATTGCTGACAGCTACGTGAATTGTTTATGGACTGTTCGAGATTGGGAAGTTTTTATGAAGTGAAACAAGCAGATGCGTTATCACTTTTTAAATACCTATAACTTTATTTCATATTTTATGAAGAGATTTATTTCAAACGAGTCAAAATTAGCTTCGTATTTAGGATTTATTGTTGCAGGCATCGCTTAATCTCTTCTAGAGAAGGACAGCTCTTCTGTACGAGACCCAACCTTTGGATTCCTCAAGTTTCCAAGCCCACTGAGTCTGGTCCACATCCAGACTCTGCCTTCAGCTCTGCCCTCCCACAGGGCAGACTCCCTGTTCGACACCACTCCGGGGGAGCTAACACTGTTAATTGTGTTATGCCTCATTTAAAGACAAGGGGGAGGGATCTTTACTGCTGAGGGCCTAGAGGTTCATAGCATGCTAAGTAACATACCAAGCCTTTTTCCCCATGATCTGGGATTCTGACAAGATGCGAAATACAGAAGACCCTTTTAATCAGTTAAAAGAGATGGTGAGATGAATGAACTTTTGCTTTTGGGCAGTTAGATTGTAACAGAGAGCCAGGAACTGAAGATAAGTGTTTGTATCTCCATAACAGGAAGATCTGTCAAAAGGAAGGGACAGACCAAAGAAACCATAGGTCTTTTACAGAATGCAGAAGGCAGTTTAGTTGTGGCTAATGCCGAGAAAGCAGAAATATTTTAATGCCTCTCTTACTTCATCCTTCAAAAATAGGGACAGCTATGAGGTGACGAATGCAGTTAGCAGCAGAAATAGAGAAGACAAACAGCCAGAGTAATGGCAGAACAGGTTAGGGGTTACTTAGAAAAGCCAGTTTATTTCAGATCAGCAGGGCCAGGGGGGATGCAGATGCACCTGAGGGTACAGAAAGAATTGGCTATGGTAACTTCAGAGCCAGCAGCTGTCTTCTTTGAGACCCCGGGGAAGTTGGGTGAGATCCCGATGATTGGAAAAGAGCAAATATAATGCCCGTCTCTAAGAAAGGGAAGGACGATTTGGGGAATTACAGAGCAGTCAGTCTGATCTCGATAGCTGGAAAGAGCATGGCGCAGGTCCTGAAGGAATCTATCGTAGAGCACCGAGAGGAGAACAGGGTGATCAGGAATAGCCATGGATTTGCCAAGAGCAAGTAATGCCTGACCAACTTGATTTCCTTTTATCATAAGGGGACAGGCTCTGTGGATGGGGAAGAGAGCAGTGGACGTGATATGCCTTGACTTTAGCAAGGCTTTTGACACCGTCTCCCTGGACATTCTCATTAACAAGCTAAAGCAATACAGACTAGATGACAGTACTGTAAGATGGGCGCATAATCGTTTGAGTTATTGTGCTCACTGAGCAGTCATCAGTGGCTCAATACTTAGTTGGGAGGAGGTATTGTGCCATTCCCCCAGGGGTCTATCCTGGTTCTGGTACTGTTCAACATCTCATTTGGATGATGAGATCGAGTGCTCACTTAGCACATTTGTGAGTGACACCGAATTGGGTGGAGTTGCAGACCATCTGGAGGGTAGGGCAAGGATCCAAAATGACGTGGATAGATTGGAGAGATGGTCCATATTTCAATCCAATGAGATGCAACAAGAACAAGTGCAAGTTTGCAGAGTACAAAAATGATTAGAGGCCTGGGAGATGAGCCTTAGGAGGAAAGCTGAAAGAGCTAGGGTTATTTAGTCTAGAGAAGAGAAGACTGAAGGGGAATTTGATAACAGTCTTTAAATACTTGGAAGGCGGTTATACAACAGATGGAGATGGGCTTTTCTCTGTGGCTGTAGGGGACAGGACTAGAAGCAGTGATCTTAAACCATGGCAGAGCAAATTTAGGTGGAAGATTAGGAGGAACTTTCTGAATATATGGGTGGTCAGACTTTCTTTCTCCAGATGCTTGCAGATGACCTTCCTTATGATATGTGCTCCAGTAACTTTCTAGGTATTGAAGTGAGGCTAACTGGTATATCTTTTTTTGGCTTACTTTTTAAAGAGGGGCAGTATGTTCAGTAGAAGAGGTCTGTTTAACTTGGGGTGGGAGAGCATCAAGTAGAACAAAAGACTGCACAGGAGTTCATAGTCCTCTGCATGGTCTTCATCTGCAGGGGGGAAACTTGGCTAAAAGTTCTGTTTTGTGCAGCATATTTAGAAAAGAATGGAGGAGATGGGTAACAAAGCACACAAATCACACGATGAGCAAAGAAGTTGTGTGCGCGCGCACACGCACTAATAAAATCAAATTCTCAGTTGCTCCTTTGCTGGTGTTTGAAGTCAGGTAATGGAAAGAAAAAAAAGGCTAAAATTGACAATATAATGCAGCAATGGTTTTTCCCTTCCTGTAGATTTGAAAGACACTTACTGAGTAGGACAATAACTCAGTTGTGAGTGCCATCACTCTCTTACTAAACTTGTGTGTTGCTTGTGCCTCTTGTACAGCAAAGAGGCTCAGAAATGCTTCTGCGGCTCTGCTAACTGCCGGGGTTACCTTGGAGGAGAGAACAGGGTCAGCATCAGAGCTGCAGGTGGAAAAATGAAAAAGGAGCGCTCTCGTAAGAAGGATTCGGTGAGTGCAACCCTGGTTCATTTTCAGGCACGATGCCTCTTCCACAACGGGTGCCAGAGCAGGTCATTTTCCTTGTTGAAGTAGCAGTTAAGAGGAATACAGTCCTGTGCTGGGATCAGAAGACAGTGATATAGGGATTTCAGCAGAATACTGTTGCCAAAAGACAGAATATCTCACTGACACAGGTGCCTATAAAACCAAGAAAACATGCTGAAGGCCTGCAAGGAACAGAATGGTTCCTGAAACTATTTCCCACCCTGCTTCAGCACAAAGTATTGGTACCACAGTGACCTCATAGGCAAATAGAGTAACTGTTATGCACTTACTATCTCAAACATGGACTTTGAGCCCTTCTTATTTACAGAAAAACCAGTTAATTGTTAAACTTCGGACATTGTTTGTGGTCTTATACTTCCACCAGGAATAGGCGGTCAGGTCCCAGTTGAACACATTTACTGCCATTTGGCACACAACATAGTGCAGGTGTTCCCTACCTCCCGTGAAGCTGGGTAAGTTGTGGTGTGAAATGTGAGCCTTCCCCCCAACCACCTTGGCCTCAAGGCAGTGAAGCTTGCAAGGACTCGCACAAACACGCGGGTTGTCTGTTGGGACTGCTTCAGTTCTAGTTGCATTTGCAGCTCTGTATTAATGAAATGCATTATGTAGAACCAGAGCCTTTTCTGGCTTTCACATCCTTCTCTATCAGGTTGGCAAAATGACCTGAATTCAGCCATGTCGCTGAATCGATTGCTTTGTTTGGTCCATAGCAGTGGTCTTAATAGTAGCTGTGACCAGCAGCGTAGGAAACTCTTGGGAGAGGTGCCAAAGGAGAATGACACCTTCCCTCCCCACCTCCCCTCTGTTTTTTCTTTTCTTCCATGATGCAAGTTCCTGGTCAGAAATTAGGAAGAAGACTTTCGCTGCCTGTAAAATGATGTTTGCTTTCATAAAAGTTAACCACCATTCCCTCCATGGCATTTGCATTTATTTAGTCAGGAGGATACTTTGTGAAGCTAGAAGCTTAAATTTCAATGACCATGTTTTTATGCAAGAATCTGTCTTTATAAAAACTGACCTTTGTATTTTTTTTAATTCATTTTCCAGACCAAAAAGAATGCTGTGTTCACCTTTAAAATAGATAAATATATTTGAATGATGTGTTCCTTTTCTTCAGCAAGCTTCATTTTTGTATTTGTAGTTGTAGGAGAAAGCTTTAATATTCTACCTGTTTATGAAGGCTGCCTGGGTTAAATATCCTATTGAATCATTTATAAAGTAGATTTAAACCATTAATCAATGCTTTTGATTTGTAGATTTGATTATAAATCATAGAATCATAGAAAAATTAGGAAAGGGACTTCAAGAGTAGATTCAGACTAGGCATCAGGAGGCGCTCCTTCACAGTCAGGGTGGCTAGGATGTGGAACCAACTTCCAAGAGAAGTGGTGCTGGCTTCTACCCTGGGGGGTCTTTAAGAGGAGGCTGGATGAACATCTTGCCGGGGTCGTTTGACCCCAGTGCTCTTTCCTGCCATGGCAGGGGGTTGGACTTGATGATCTGCTCAGGTCCCTTCCAGCCCGACCAACTATGAAATTATGAAGAGGTCATCTAATCCAACCCCTTGCTCAAACCAGGACCAACTAGATGGTCTAGCCAGGGTTTTGTGAAGCTGGGCCTTAAACTTCCAAGGATGGAGACTCCCCAGCCTCTCTAGGTAACTCATTCCAGAGCTTTAATACCCTCTTAGTGAGAGTTTTTCATACTATTCAACCCAATATCGAAATAATTTCCTAATATCCAAATGTAAATGTTCCAGACAGTTGGGCATTTTTTTCTGCTCAATTTAGACTTCAGAGTGAATGTCTTGTTACTGCCCCAGCATGCAATTTTGATGGAGTAGACCTCCATTTGTGAAGCTCAAAGTACCAAATATTCAGTAATTGAAGGAAAAATATTCCTTGTTTTAAATAGCAGATGATGTCTTCTGCCCCACCATCCTATGTTAATATGTGAAATGGCAAACTTGAAACCAGAATACTTGGTAAACACATCTTGTGGGATGGTAGCTTGTGGGTCTGGCAGGGTAGTTGAAGAGTTGTATAATTGCTTTGTCTTGGCAGGTGGATGGGGAGTTAGAAGCACTGCTGGAGAACGGAGAAGGTCTTTCAGATAAGAACCAAGTTCTCAGTTTATCCCGGCTGATGGTTCGGATAGAGACACTGGAGCAGAAACTCACCTGCCTCAAACTCATACAGGTGAGAAGATCCCCAATGAGGGGGAAGAAAGGAGGGGATCAGATTGCATTCAGAATTTTATTTTGCCTAATATGCCTTTAAATGGCTGTAGAGGATAAGGGAAAAAAAAAAAGGAAAATCAGGCTTCCCACTTGTTTCAATAACTAGAGCATGAGTTTAGTTGTTGTTAGAGTGGAAAAAGGCATGGGTTTGTAATTGCATATAACTTTGTAGCACCCATCCTTTACTGTTAGCATTTGCCTTTTTGGAGGATTAAAAGAGTGCTGTGGCCTTACTGGTTCATTTAAAATGGCTGTTTCTACAGACTGATATAAAAGGGTTAACTTTACTTGGATAAGAATGATCCCTTTTAGCAATATATTAAGCCGTCTGATGAAATACAATTGGAAAAGGAAAATGGACCAGAGAAAAGTAGCCTGGCTATCTTGGAATTAATTTACAACCAGCTTTTTCCTAGGAGTCTGCTGGGTAGTTGTTTTTTTTTTATTATTTTCATTCAACTCAGTGAAGATTAGTTATATCCGATTTTCTATTTATCTAGCCTCCTGTTAGGTTTTTATTCTGTAATAGTAGCTGTCCACCGGAGATGCTTATAATAGTGCCATAAGCAGTATTGCACTAGTACAGTTGCTCTTGTCCATTTTAGTTTTTTGTGATGTTGACAGGAAACTAGTCCTGGCTCTCTGCTTTCCGTGCTTCTTGGTTTTTATCAGTAACCAATCCCTAGTTCAGGAATTAGTCTCCACTTGCTGATATTGCCTAGTTTTCGCCTGTTGAGAAGTTGCTGACTGTTCCTCCGAACTCTGTACTTTTTGGCTCACCTAGAACACGCATTCGCAAGCCTGCCTGAAGTCCTTCCTCGAATGCCATGGCTTATCTCTCCTCTGGATCTGGATGACGGAGCTGGGCGACGGGAGAGGGAGCACCGCTAACAACCTGAAACTCCAGCTAGAGGTCAGTACCAGCCTTAGATGGCCAGGTTTACAAACTGGCTTGTACATGGAGCCTTGCAAGCAGCTTGATTTATGCTCAGAAGAGGGAGAGTGAGTGTGCATGTGAGTATATAAAAATATGTAAAGTGTTAACAAAAACCAGGTGTACTACTGTGTGCTGAAAACTGTGTCGTTTTCCCCACAACAGCAGTTTTTTCTCTACATTATGTTCACCCATGAGAAGCCCTAAATACCTAGAAAGGATTTACTTTTGTGGATTTCCTAATCCTGTACATAAATTAATGACATAGCCAAGTGTAAAGGACAGACAGACATTCTGTTCTGGGATGTCCTAAATGTAGCTTTAGATCACATAGGGAAGTAGGGCTGTAAGGGATGCCTGGAAGTCATCTAGTCCAATTCCCATTTTGTAGATGGTTATAATTGCTACAAGTATCACGTCCATCATTATAATAGCTACAAGTACCTCCATTAACAAGTTACTGAAACATAAAAGGAAAAAAAGATTTTGCTAAAAGACCTGTTGTGAAAAGCTTTCTCAGACTTAGGTGCATTTGGTAGTATTTGCTAGTAGCAGTAGTATACAGCTGCATTTGGTAGTAGCAGCTGTACTATCTTTGAGGTCAAGACAGATGTATGCCTAAACCTTGGTTTATTTTTCTTAGCTGAAATGATAACTTTCTTATGCCAGTGCTGTTTGCTTAGCTGTTTCTCTCAGCTGTTACATAGCATCTTTTGGATTTTTTTTTTTCCTCAGTTTTTTTTATTTCTTCTGGGCTGGTATCTTTTCCTTGTCACCCAGTCTTCTAATCCATCTAATTAAAATAATAGTGACCTAGGGGACCAATACAAGGACATTTGCAATCAAAAATGATGACTTGTGTTCTTGTAGCTGTTTACAACTTTTTTTTTTTTTACAGGAGCACCTTAGAAAAGCCCAGATTGCTTATAAAAGGTGTTTGTTATACTCAGGTATGAACAAAAGCTGATATTCTGCTTGGGATTAGGACTTTGCTGGCTGCTTTTCAGATGGGCTTGAAGATTTTTTGGTAGACCAACTGAATATATTCTTTGGTGCAAGCTTAAGAAAATAGCCCTTACATTGACACCTTTTTTCAAAGTGACTAGGTATTTTGCCCTTATGAAAATACAAGGATCTTCAAAAAATGCTTTCTGTTAAAGTGGTTTGTGCTGTGGTGGGCACCCCATGGCCATGTCTCTTGAACAGGCCATAACTACTTCAGCTAGGTAAGCATCTGTTAACTTGGGTCTAGCTCTTGAGCCCCAGCATGCTATCCTGTTAGGCTTGATTCTCACTGTCTCCATCGTTGATGAGAGATGCATTAGTCTCCTGCGTTGTCAAGCTTTATGCTATCATAGACCACACTCTCTGAGATGCTGGGCCTCTACCTTTGTAGTACACAACCCACACTTGGCATGAATGCTTTCTCTGCTGCTGAGTTTTTCAGTGCCAGCAGTCCTGGCACAAGTGTTTGGCATCTGTTGAGTCAGTGCTCCTCTCCTTTCCATCCTGATGCGTTAACCTGAGCTTCTTGTGAAGAGAGACTTGTCCAAGCATGTGGGTTACCTGAAAGGTCTCAAAGACTGAGTCCTGTTGCAGCAGCGACTCTCTCTGGAAGATCTGTGCTGCTCCCTTTATGAAACCACTGTGGACTTGAGCGAAAAAAACCAGAGTGGTTTGCAGTATCCATTTTAGTCACAGTGCCAGTTCCTTCCTATGGAAAGGTATGAATGGTTAATTCAAGTACTAGAGCTATTGCTACTGGGTTGGCCTTCATCTTGAAGGGGCTATAGGTGCTTGCTTCTGTTCCATACTCCGCACAGATGATTATTGTGGCGTTACACCCTCTTCCGGCACTGGCGAGACTCCTGTCTGGTCCCCTGCTTTCAGCAGGTAAGATGGATCTTCATCCTGTTAAACTGTCGGAAGCAGTGAGTTCAGATTAAATTTCCATCCTACGTCCGTGTGAAGTGAGGTCAGATGCTCAGCCTTCATGTTCTCGAATCTGGAATTTCCCTGCAGGGTCTAAGAGGCAACTTCAAGCCATGGCTGTAACCATGGCCCTGCCTGTACTCTGTGTACAATCTGGACTTGACATACTGATTGTCTCATGCTTGTCACAGGCTTCTCATTCCCCTGGTGATTCAGATAAGTGTACTGTGAATCATGTGCTTTCCAGGAAAAGGTCATTCTCTGGTGGATAACTTGAAACTCCAACAAGTTGAATCCAGATCTTTTGGGGTGGAGAGTGCTTGGAATCCACAACCAGTCTTTAATGAGAGAGTACATTCCCAAAGTGGTTCTCTGGCCTCCAGAGAAAAGCCAGATTTCGTCTCTTCTCTTAGGCAGTTCCAGGATCTCACGTTGATCTTGTATTCCCTGAGTCACGGCCTCCTTGGGTTTGTCAAACCTGGTATTCTCATCCCCTTGCTCTTGCACTGGAGCCTTGAATTCTTCTGCTTTTGTCTCGCAGTCTTTTCTCTCCGAAGCTAGACTAGAAAGATTCATGCAGATCTTCTCCATCCAGTAGCCTGGATGGTTGAAGCCATTCAGGCTTGGATCAGAAATGGGCAGAAGAGGTAAAATGCATCTTCAAATGTGGCAAACCATCTACAAGACATGATGAAATGAGAATGCTTCTCATTGGAACCAAAGATTAAGAATATAGCCCACTCCCTAATTTGATTGCTTTATCAGCTCTTTTGTCATCATATGAAGTCATTTGGGTAGCCAAAGCCGTTTTTTCCTCCCTCTCCAAGGAGCCCATGCCTTGGCAATGACTTGTCTGCCATCGAATATGGCAGCCACAAGCTTAGCAGAGGCTCTGTAGTATGTGGTGTCTTCAGATGGAAGTGATATTTTATTTCATTCTTTTGTTTTCAGTTACTGTTTGAAAAATTATTTTTTTTCTGTTCATTAGAGACCAAAATGACCTAAGAGAGCCAATTGCTGCCTTTTCATGGGGTGGTTTAGTGGCTTCAGACTGATAAAGCATTAGGAGTTCCCTCCAAGTGGATGCTGAGAGCATAAAATCAGGAGCTGGAATTTAATTTGTGTGCAGGAAAGGCATGAAATAGTTCTGCTTTTACTTAATCCCTGAAAATGCAAATACAATAAAATTTAAGACTTAACTCCTTGTCAGGTTTTGCATATGCATCATGGTAAAGTCTGTGAACAGGTCTATTGATCCCTGCCCCACCACCATGAGCTTTGGAGATTATGGGTTGTTTTTTAAACCTAGCAGCAGTCTCCTGTGGTATTTTTTTTTTTGAGGGAGGGGGGTGTTTTTTTCCCTGTAGCTGCAGAAGTCTTACAGGCGTAGTTGTAGAGGTGAAGAGTCATGCAGTCTATCTAATCCCTAATGCAGGATTGTGCATTTTTCTCTTATCTTGTCCAGCCAAGATTTAAGCCAAAGTGATTGGGCATGTTTTGCTAGCAGTGATGTCCTCCCAGGAGAATATTAGTGGATTTCTTTTACTTAAAGCTCACAAATTCCAGTGGGTGCCTTAAGTAGACACTGGCATCAGGTGAATTTTGTAATATTGCTACGTTAGGCGAGTTTGGATCTTGTTAAGGTTGATTGATCTTGGCTTTTGTTAATGACTTCCATTCATTCAGTTGTAAGTAAAATAGCTGTTGCCACACTTTCAAAGAACTTCTCATTTGCAGCTTTCAACTTCTAATTAAAGCCAAGTTAGAGCGAGATCGACTTAATTGTACAGAAAATGATCCCTATAACAAAGCCAAAGTTAAAAGGTTAGCTACTTTTAATCATTAGCACGTTGTTATATGACGTATTGTGTCTTGGAGTTGGTTATTTAGGTGTAAACCTCAGAGTCGCGATCGCCTAGAAGTGTACAAGCTCTTGGAGCTCAGTTGAGTTTCAACCGGCTATACATTTAATCTACTTGACACCATGGACTCCCTTGGCATTGGCAGCCTTACCCTAGCTCAGTCCTAAAGAGAGAGGCATCTCCCTTAACTTTTTTTGTTGTGAATACGACTGTTTCAAATGTTGCTGAAGTGACTTCCTCTTAGAAAAAATTGCTGTCCTCAAATTGGATGTCTAAAACAAAATTGGTCCAGTGCCGAGTGACAGTTTTAACTCTAACAGTTGTGGGTTTTTTGTTGTTTTTTTTTGTAAACAGTTCATGAAGACGCTGGAGCTTTTGCCCATACCTAATAAAAACATGCTGGAGGAGAGCAAAGTGCTTCCTATCATACAGCGCTGGGCTCAGACCAAGACCGCTGTCCCGCAGCTCAGCGAAGGGGATGGCTACTCGAGTGAGAATACGTCGAGGGCCCACACACCGCTCAACACGCCAGACCTTTCCACCAAACACAGCATAGAAGGCGAGACGGACACCCCGAAGAAGCTTGTATTTCGAAGGCTCAAAATTATAAGCGAAAACAGCATGGACAGTGCAATCTCTGATACTACCAGTGAGCTGGAGGGGAAGGAGGGCAAAGAAGACCTGGACCAGCTGGACAGTGCCCCTGCGGAGGTGCCGGAGGAGGAGCAGCAGCAGCCGCCGGAGATCAAAGCTGCTATCGATGCCCCGGTGGACAGCAGCAAACCCCAGACTGCTGAGCTGGAGACTGAGCCCGAAGCCGAGGCCAAAGAGAGCAACGGCACAAAGCTAGAAGAGCCCATTGCCATGGAAACGCCATCTCAAGATGAAGAGGAAGGTGTGTCTGACGTAGAGAGCGAGAGGAGCCAAGAGCAGACTGACAAGATAGTGGATGTGAGCGAGTTGGCTACCAAGTTGCTAGACAACTGGAAAGACCTCAAGGTAAGAACTGTGGCTGCAGCAGCAGGATTGTGATAAAGAGAAACGTAGAGCTGTTCGCAGCTGAGCATGCGTAACGTTAAGATGTTGCCTTGTTTGCCAATGTTCACGTGAAGCAAATAGCAGTGCCTGCCTTCAGTGAGGGATTTCGGTAAAAAACAAACCAACAAATCAAAAATGTCTCCAAGTACTTTCTGTGCATTCCCTTTTGTAGCAGATTTATACCATATGGGATTTATAGTAGGTTGCAGGACATCTGTGCGCTCTTCAAGGAAAAGGACCAATGAATTCGACGTGACCACTGAGAGAGAATTGCGTGTTCATCCCACTGCCATTTGCCCTGTTTTTTTTCCCCCCCAAAAAAGCCATTTGTTGATGGTTTGGGCACTGCTGGATGGCTGCTCACTTGCAGGCCTGCTTGCGTAAATCAGTCAGAAAATGGTGCAGCGAGCATCTTTGGCTCGGCCGTCCCGAGGTATATCTTCCCGACGTGCCGAATGACTGACCTAGTTGTCAAGTCCATTATCACAAGGCCTTCAGTTGTTGCCTGTCCTGCAAATATCTGCCTTTCAGCTACAACTCGTGTGGCATTTGGAGACTGTTGTCTTCCAGCAATATTCTCTTACGTTGACATTTATGGCTACGTTAACTCCCAGAGGTCCAAGGTTTTATGTTCAGAGCAGCTAACTATCCAGCAAAATCCGAGATTTCATTTGCATCTTTGGAAGTGCTCAGAGGGCCCTGATGCTTGATGCCCTCCCTCTTACAAAACCCGTTGTCTTGCTCACCATGTTGACTTTTCGAGGTGGGTTTTTTTTTTCTCTTCGGCACCAGGCTGTCCTCTGCCGAGCAACGAGGCAGCCTGCTCTGTCAGCCAGTCTCTAGCAAGAAACCTACTGTGGTGCTGTAGCAGGACCCACTGAGGCTGGACAGTTTGTCCCTTGAAAATTGGGGGCCACTGTAGGACTTCTAGAGCAGTGTGTGAGATCCTAAAACCCATTGCTTCACCCAACGTTTCAACCAGATCAGCTCCTTATAAGAGTAGAGACGGGGCAAGGGGTGGAGGGGCGTTGCTTTTAATTTAGAAGTAACACCTCATTAGGACTTAGCAAAGGGGGTGGAAGCCTCTGCATCCCAGTGGAAGGGTTGCCCCCCCAAAGAGGAAAGATGCCAAATTGGAGAGCAGCAAGGCTTGAAGCTGCACTAGTCCCTTATCTGTCCTAGCAAAGATAACAGCAGAGGCCAGGAAGTTAACGGATTGAGGTCTTGTCATGTCCTCCTCCGTGCATCTCCTTGCAAATGAGATGGCAATGCTGCTCTTATCAGGATTGTCCTATGCCACCAAGGGTCTTGGGGTTGGTTGCAAGGCCAGTTGAAGGTGCAGGAAGCTTGCCCATCATTTAACCCGAGGGCTTGCCCATCCTAAATCATTAAGTAGAATTTCTGTCATCATGGTTGCTAGTTCTGTCCAAATAATACACCATAAGGTGACCCATGGCATTATTTTGCTACCTATAGTTATTAACTGATGGTGCTTCAGAGGAGACTAGTAAAGAGAATTGACTATGTGCACGCCGAACAGGAGGATTGAGGTTCATTTCTCCTTGGCCCCTATGGGAGATTTAAATTTAGGCTTTGAATTCATCAGACTTTGTTCCCTGTGCGACTCACTCGACCCTCCATAACCACTGATACGACTGGTCATTGTATACCAAAAAATGAATATATTTAAGGAAGAATTTTTCTTTTTACCTGTACATTTCTCAAAAGAATCTAACGTTTGTGCGGTTACAGAGGTGGTTGCCTAGAGTTATGATGTCCTAAATCTAATGGGGAAGAAATGTTGTTGCCGTAAGATAAAATGTATTCGTTATTTCACATATGAAAACAAGATGGTGATGTTCACTTCTCCTTACCCCGTGTATATGCAGTAAATTGGCAGCTTTAGTCTACAGTGTATGTAATCTGCCAGGGGTTCAGGATTCCTTCACTTAAAAGGGACACTGTCAGGTTAAATGTGTATTGGGGGGGGAAAAAAATCCTTTTCCTTACGTTGTTAATATTTTGGATTATTAAAACTGAAAAGCCAGAAGTCTCGTGCTTCACTTCATGCTGCTTTGTTTTGGATTTTCCTTACCTTGGACAAAAGATCCCTGAGCTTTCCTTTTTATTTATGTTGTTACCAGCCATTTTCACTTCCAGGATTTCATACTTCAGTGTTTGGACTGCAAATGCTGAAGGGAGTAGTTTTAAAATAGCTGATTCTGCTGCAGGCATTAAAGAAAATCTAAGTGTCACAAAACCTCTCGTTTCATAAAATGGTAGTTCGGGGCCCAATTTGATCTGACAGTGTCATTTTAACACCAAGTGCTGACTCCCAGGACGCTTGCATTTACCGTTGAGCTTGGAGTAATCCTGCCCGAGGCATCCCAAGCCGTTTGGTCAAGCTCTTGGTCCATTATGGAATCATTACCCGTCCGAATTGCCATTTGAGATACGGAGTTGCTTCCTCCCCCTGGGATCTGCTGTGCTGTACCTCACCTGATACCACCCCGAGGACACCACTAACCTTTCATAACAGGACGTTCTGATTTTTTAGGTACATGGGTATTTGCCACTGTTGTTGGTGTCGTGGTGCTCTAAGCAGCCACATACCTATGCATCTGAAATCAGGATTAAGTCTTAAACCTATGAAAATCTCCTTATCCTGCTGTGTTCTGTACATTATCATGGCACTAAGAGTTAACTGCTTCTGTCCAGCTTTCACCTGTTGAGACATTTTCTATTGGGTTTTTTGTTTTTTTGGGGGCAAACCGGTCAGGCCAGGATGATACAGCTCTGAAGTGGCTGATAAATCCTAAGACCTTAAGCTACAGGAGGGATACTTGTGCACTTAACAGAGCACGGTGTTTCTAAATTGAAGAAGAACGGATAGCAATGTCATCTGTCGACCTGTTAAACTTCTTATGAGAGCTGGTTGTGTTTCCCCATCAGCTTTATCTTGCCACTAAAGTGGGAAGACAGAAAGGTGATTTTTTTTTTTTTTTTTCAGGTGCTTCCAAGCTTTATAAAGCAGGTTGTACATTAAATTGTGGGAGGAAGGGCGGGCGGGAGGGTCTGAAGTCTTGTAACTTACACTTTGTCCTCCCCGATCTTGATGATGACCCCCTTGTAATTTCAACCATTTCCATCTAGCTTCTCAGGGCAGCAAGGAGCTTGTTAACATCACCAGCTGACCATGTGTCTCCTTTTCTCAACTCCATTTTCAACTCCGTGCTGAAGAAGGGAGAGAACGTAGCGTGCATACTGTGAAGAAACAGGAAGATGGTTGGGAAGCTGGATGATGCATGAGAAATATAATAGGTGAAAAGAGGACAGAGGTGGTTAACTCATTGATGCCGACGTTATTTTGGTGCGTCCATTGCCGGCAATGGACGTCGCTCCGGGAAAATCCCAACTCCTGGCATGAAAGGATTAAGTGAGCTATCTTTTTATATACCTCTATACACAGGGCAGCTGCCTTGGCTTGCAAGGCTTGTCCATTTGGACTCCTGAACCCTTGAGGAATATCAGCCAGTAATACACAACTCACTGCAACACAGACACACGCACACTACTCAACGGGGTAAGTTTTCAGCATGGGTTTGTGCAGGCATTTCCTGTTGGAAGAGGAAGTGGTGCATGTATTCCCCCATGCTGAAAACGTACTCGACATGGTAAGGGTCACTCAACACACAGCAGGTAGCAGGTGGTGGCTAAATGCAATTCTTACGTGTGCTTTAGCTCTCACAAGAACGTAGACTGCGCCAGGACTCACGCAGGTAAGGCCTTTGTGGGACTGATGCGTACTTGGTGACATTTTCCATAAATACTTTATGGCACGATGGCTAATGATTCCAGATGCCTGTAGGTGAAAAGCGCTGGTGAGGGCCTGGTGTTCTTGACCCATAAGCCCCTAATGCATTGGGTATCTTCACATGTGCTGCCCTTTGAGGGAGATAAATTCCTGCTCTTAGGGTTGCAGTAATTATATAGGAAACTGCTGGGCTTTCTTCAACCGGCTCTTTTGATCATGTTCTTTCCCTTTAAACTTCAGTTTATAAGATGGAAAAGATTGTGACTTCACATTTAGCACAAGCATTTTAAAGGTGGTGATCTCCTGGAGGCAGTCCAGCTGTTGAAGACTCTTAGCTGTTTATCTCAGTCTGCAGAGGCTGGAGCACAACTGCCCAAACCATTAGTAACCTGAGCTTCAGTAACTTTATACATCTGCTTGCACACAAAGAAGCTCTGCTTCAGCATGAGAATTAAGTTGCTCGAGCAGAATTGGCAATGCCAACCCAATCCATAGCATTGCCGTAAGACACTTCTCCAGGTTAGGGTCATATTTGTGCCTCTCTGGTGGTGGCAGTGAACTTCTAGGATCTCCCTTCACAAGCCTTTTATATATGCAGATGATAACATAACCTTCCTGATGAGAGGGCAAAAGTATTAAGTTGTAATTAAGCTTATCAGAGCATCCACTTAAACTACCCAGTACGTTGTTTTAAATAGTACCTTCCTAAAGCTCTGGGTTTCTCGGGGAAATATTAAAGGGCTGTTAGCCTTGAATTCCAAGTCACTGTTAAAAAATGTGTCTCGGGTTGAGAGTGATTAACAGATTTGGCTCGAGCAAGGTGACTTCTGTCACTGTCACAATCCACTGCCCAGTGGACAAGTGTTTGTACAAAATGCCCCTTTGCAGTTGGTGTGATTGCTGGTAGTCTGAGCAGTGAAGCTGAGGATTGAAGGACAGAGCTATCTTAGACCTGGAAATAGTTGCCCCAAGTCATAGTTGAGACACCTGGTAGGGCAGTGTTGAGAAGCCATACAGTCCAATTCCTTGTGCCGTGCACTTTCTCTGGATAAATGGACTCGGTCAATCTCTTGACATGACCAGCTGGCACTTTTTTAATACACAAATGCCAAATTCAAATGAAGAGGGAAGGTGTAATGTACATGAA